ATAAATAAGAAAAGATTACCAATTACAAAGATGCAACACCCATATTAGTTTTTTTTAATTTAATTTTTAATAACTAAATAGTAAACTTTAAATTAAGGGTCCGTTTGGTTCATAGTTGGAATTGGAATTGGAATTTGAATCAAAATCCTCCAGAATCGGAATCGGAATGGTCCATTCCCATAGTCTGTTTGGTTTAGACAGGAATGAGAATGGGAATTAAAATCAACAAGAATGGGATTTCATTCCCAAGGGATGGACAGGGAATGGCCATTCCCTCAAATGGGGGAATGCCATTCCAGTAGGAATGAGAATGATATTTTGATTCCGCCCAACCAAATAGTTGGCCATTCCGATTCCAATTCCAAACTCCTATTCCTGTACACCAAACAGACCCTAAATTATACACACATTTAATTACCCAATAATCAATATTAGTATAAATATATTAAGCTGAATTGTGTACGTAATAAGGCTTGAGGATGAGGGAAATGGAATCTAACAATATTTTTTGCCTTTTTTTCTTATAAATTATAAGAATGCCACTCTCTATCCTACCAACTCTCTCTCTCTCTCTCTCTCTCAAAGGTAGTCAAGTTCAAATTGAGCCGAGCTTGAACTTCTAAGATCAAGCTCAAGTCTCTAATATCGAGCTCAAGCTAGATGACACCTTGGCCACTAAGGGAGGCCTCGGCTCGGCACCTTGTCAACTAAGTGAGACCTTAGCTCAACACCTCACCTACTAGGGAAACCTTAGCTTGACACTTCAACAGTTGAGGGAGACCTCGGTTTGGCACCTCGGCAATTGAAAGAAACCTCAACTCGACACCTCAACTGCTTGAGAGACATGCAATCAAAGATAGCTAAACTTGAACTTCCGAGCTTTTGACTCAAACTAAGCTCAAACTCGAGCTCAAGTCTCTAACTCAAATCGAATTCGAACCTAATAGTTTATGAGCGAACCTCTACTATACAGAGGAAATAGGATCTGCTCCTCACGAATGTGCGCCTCACATGCACATCCACCATGCATTAGTAACATCTCCCATGAATAATATCTAATATTCACGAGAGATGTTTCCAATGCATGGTAGGATGTACATGTGATGAGAAGATCCGGTCTCCACACAGCGCTAGTTATCACTTAACTATTAAACTTTTTAATAAAGAGAATAAGTGTAACAAGGAGTTCCTGTCACCCGTTGACAGCCAAAGTTTTTCCGGATTACAATACGGCGTCGTACCCTCTACAGGACAGCCCGTGATGAGCGGTGATGCCGCTAGCTGTATTTAATGTAAAGCCCAACTAATCCTTAATCCTTAATCCACTTTTCATTATTAGAGTTGGACAATAGAAGGGAAAGATACTTGAAAAATAGAAATTAAATGCCAACCCAACTTCCCAAAACTCCATTAATGGTGAGTGAAATAACTGATTCTGACATGACTTATCGAACTTCCCTCCTGGATTTTCTCACTTCACTTTCTTCCACTTTTAGAATGTTTATGTAGATCCCAAGCTCCTAACCTCCATTTGGTTAAAGCTCTTTAATTTATTTCCCTTCTTCCTCAGCCCCAAATTTGTCATTCCATGCAAGGGTAGGTTTAAAGTGTAAATGGGGGTTGAGGCTGTGGAATGTCTTCCCGTGACTACCAGTTCAGGTTAATCTCCCATTCCCAATCCATATTCCAACCTGTTGACATCTTCTTCCGTGATCATATCTTTCTTTTCACCCTGTTTTGATTTCTGGCGGTGATTTGCATATGGGTGGATTTGATTGAACATCTGGCTATTAAAAAATTATGAGACTCGAATTCTCAATTTTAGTTAGAAATTTGAGCTCGAATTTGAATCTAATTCGACAGTTTTTGGCTCGGGGTTGAACTCTTATTTTCCAGTAACCTTCATGGTCACCTTTTTGGTATTCATGGTTTGATTAATTGAACCGTAGTTATAAATTTCATATATATATATATATATATATACTGATCAGTTCGAATAACCATCAATTTTTTATATTGGTTAATTGAAATCAAATTGAAACTTTCAATTTTTTAAAAATACTAAATTCATCAGTTCGGTTATTTGGAATTTTTGGTTATATCTTATGGTTTGGTTCAGTTACTCGATTTTTCTTATTCACCCCTAATTTTTACTAGTTATGAAAAGAGTAATTTACTATTTTTCACTCCGCCTTGCCCCAATCCATTGAGCCTTTTGTTTCAGTTTGTAACATAGTTTTCAAAACCAGATTGGATCGGACGGTTGGACTGGAAAAACCAAACCCCAGAATAATCTTTTGGTCAAAAACGTTGATTTGACCAGAAAACTGCTGACCCAAGCGATTGAACCATTCAACGGTTTTTGACTGTTTTTTATTTATTTGTTGTTAGAATAGGCCATCCATTTGGTTCGAATGGTTGGACCATTCAACCCAGGAACCAGACCCTTGAATGGTTCATTATCCGTTTCGGTTTTAAAAACCTTGGTTTGTATAGTTGGGTTAGTTTTGCACCAATAAATTTTCCTTCTTACCAAACAAACTTTTAGCTATAATGGATGCAAACACGAATTCCAATAAAGCATATGTTTAATTTGATCAAAAGCCCACTTGAATGCAAATTTATTTTATTGATGTATTTTTACATCTTCTTATCAATGTAAATATACATTAATCTATCATTTCTCAATGCATAAATGTAATATTATCAAACACAGACAAAAGGGAACTATAGTACAAATTTATCCTAAATGGGGATTTACACTCCATTTGCATCCTTTCCAAACACACTCTTAGTACATCTTCCGCCAGGACTCGGGATGGGCTGAGCCTTTTGTTTTACGCGGGCTTGGACTAATGAAGGGTGGCAAATGGCAAATTGGTGCGTTAACCGAGTAGTAAGAACTAAGAACTATCCACTCCGATCCAGGATCCACTCTAATTAGATGCGTCATATGTGTTCAACATTTTTTACTATTGGCTGTTAAACCAAAAAGGATATTTCCACGGCGATGCCAGCACCACGATCTTTATCCCCCACGGCCGGTGGTTCGTCCAATTATGGTACAGAAAAAGTATAATACCAAACCGATAAGCAATCAACCAATCATCCAATGGGTAATCAACTAACCAATCAACTGGCCTTCATTTTCTTTTTTTTCTTTATTGAATAAATTGATGTTCATTTTTGCTATCTTTGATTTGAAGGAAAATGTAAGAAAAGAAAGAGAAAGGTATGGAAACCTATACAAAATTTATATAGGTTTTCCTGCCCTTCCCTTTCTTTCCTACTTTTTCGTTCAAATCAAACACAGGGTTAAAAAAACAGAGAGAAAAACCGGTATTCAGTTTTTTCAAATGGGTTTCTGAATCTCTAATTGGCTGACATTTTTTAGGGTATGTATCTTTCCGGTGTCATAGAAGTTACATGGTAGGACTGCAACTCTCCAAGTCAATTTGTCCCATTTATGGTTGGGGCCGGATATATTTGTGTCGTTTTGTCATTTTGGGTTGCGTTCAAGCTTATCTATTGAACCTTGTTTAACATTCCAAATTGCTTTTCACTTTCCCAATTGAACCTACTTTTGAGTTTTGCGTTATGTCCTTTCCATTTGCATCTTGCAGGGCAAGAACGTGCAATGGCGTATCAATATGAATTATGTTGTAGCATGGTTTTCAAAGCCGGATCAGACCGGAAAACTGGGAACCGGTCACTTGACCGGTTCTGTTTCCTCCCAAAATTGTTGATTTTGGTTAGCAAACTATTGAATCGGATGGTTAATCTTTTGAACTATTCAAATTGTTTTGAATTCTTTTTTAATTTTTTGTCAGAATGGGCCGATCATTCAAACCAGTAACCGGACCCCTGATCGATTCGGTCACTGGTTCGTTTTTAAAAACCATGTGTTGTAGAGATGTTTTCCAATAAAACTGTGGTCTAAAGACAAATAGGCCCTTATTTATGATGATAAAAATTGATGCATGGGATGTACAGGGTACAGCCTTTATATTAATAACAAAAGAATGGGGATCTATGAATATATTCCCCCTTCCCCTCCTTCTATTCTCACATATTAAATGCTGATGCTAATTCTATCCACCTTTTTTCTGGTGGTTGCAGCACTTACTCCCAACGCAACAAGGGGCTGTTAATGGGCTTTTTGATCGGGATAGACACAGACTTGAACTCAATTTCTTAATTGCATTAATAAGTCATGGATCCAGAACCTACACTTACTGAATATTAATCGGGCCTTTTGGGTTTGACCCAAATCCAATAAAAAATCGATAAACCAAGAAGCCTTTAACTGGTAGTTCTCTTCTTCCCTTTTCTCAAAATATCTTTTATATCCCCTGTAAAATCATGGCTTTCTACATCAAGCATTGACAGACCTTGTGTAGTAGAACAGGATGGGAGCTGACCGGTCGACCCAACCTGTTGAGAGCCCAGTGCATAAGATCTTGAGTCTTGACTCGAACCTGATTCTGTTGGTCTTGGCATGGTATGACTACTGGCCTACTGGGGTCCAATGGTACGGCATAGTCTGACGATGCGGTCTGATCCACGTGTTTGATGCAACATACCCCGTTCACACTATGTTTTTTACTAATGGGTTGAGTTACTATCCGCATCATCCGGTTCCGTCTGATTGTTATTAGTGGGCTCTGATGCTACGGGCGTAGTCTGGCTCATCCGGTCTAAATCCGGGTGGGTATTCGCCGATCGACAACAGTTAGTTAATTACACTACACGACACAGTACGGTCGTAACTCGTAAGCTCAGCCGGTCGGCCCCAATTTACCCCGTTAACCATGCTAATGCAAACAAAATTTTGATTTTTTTTATAGAAATCACTTTACTATTAAATGTTAATTTTAAGTAATTTAAAAGCTACTTTTTTTGATAATCCATTAAAAAAAGGCTATATAATACCGAAAAAATAAAAATAAAAACAAAAAAATCTCTCCTATAACGCCTTCATTGGTTCATGCACAGTTCACTGCCTCCCTTATTTATTAGCGTTCCCCCGCGGACAATCGAACATCTCTCTCCATCTCCCTCTCTCTCCACAATGGAAGGAAAAGCAAAAACCACTATCTTTTCCTTCTTCATTCTGTTTTTCTTCTCGAGCGGTTACGCAAAACCGCTCCAGTTCCAAACCCTGGTTTTAGGGACTCTTCCCAAACCGCCCACCCACAAGCCCGATCTCTGCTGGAGCGAATCTGAAACTTCATCCCTCTCCGAAACCGCTGAAACCAATCCTCAGACCATTCTCACTGCACGATTAGAACACAGGGATGCTTTGGCCTTCAATGTCACTCCAGAAGCACTCTTCCATCTCAGGTTGGAGAGAGATGCCGCCAGAGTTGAGTCCCTGTCCACCATGGCAGCTGGTGCGCCGCCCGTTACTAGTAGAAACGCCACTCGGTCGCGCGGGAACGGCTTCAGTAGTTCGGTCATCTCCGGCCTCTCTCAGGGTAGCGGAGAGTATTTTACACGGATAGGTGTTGGTACGCCCCCTAGGTACGTCTACATGGTTCTCGATACTGGTAGCGACATCGTTTGGATCCAATGTGCGCCTTGCCGGAAATGTTACACGCAGGCCGATCCTATGTTCGATCCAAAAAAATCTCGTTCGTTTGCTGGTGTTTCCTGCGGTTCACCTCTCTGTCGGAGACTAGATGTGTCGGGATGTAGTCAGCAGCGGCTATGCCTCTATCAGGTATCATATGGTGACGGATCGTTCACCGTGGGAGAATTCTCTACGGAGACGCTCACGTTCCGGGGGACCAAGGTTGGAAATGTGGCGCTTGGGTGCGGCCACGATAACGAAGGATTGTTCGTAGGCGCGGCCGGGTTGCTGGGTCTCGGCAGGGGGAAATTGTCCTTCCCGTCCCAGGCGGGCCGCCGCTTTGGGAGGAAATTCTCATATTGCCTCGTCGATCGACAGGCGGCGGCAGTGAAGCCGTCGTCGGTGGTGTTCGGGGAGTCGGCCGTGCCTAGGTCGGCCGTGTTCACGCCGATGCTTACAAACCCTAGACTGGACACTTTCTACTACGTCGAACTCATAGGTATCAGTGTGGGGGGTGTGCGAGTCCCTGGGATTACAGCCTCTCTGTTCAAGATGGACTCGGCTGGGAACGGCGGAGTGATAATCGACTCGGGAACGTCAGTGACTCGGTTGACTCGTCCGGCTTATGTAGCTCTACGCGACGCGTTCCGTGCCGGGGCGATACAGTTGAAGCGGGCGGAGGGGTTTTCGTTGTTCGACACGTGTTATGATTTGTCGGGGAAGACAGTGGTGAAGGTACCGACGGTGGTGATGCATTTCAGGGGTGGGGCGGACTTGTCATTGCCGGCGGCGAACTATCTGATACCGGTTGATAGTAACGGGATTTTCTGCTTCGCATTTGCCGGGACGACGAGTGGGTTGTCTATAGTGGGGAATATACAGCAACAAGGGTTTCGTGTTGTGTTCGATGGAGCGAGTTCGCGTATCGGGTTTGCTGCGCACGGGTGCGCGTGACGGAAAGACTCTCGAGTCTGAGCGTCAGGGCGTGTCAGTCGTCTTTTGGGTTTTCTTTTCTTTTCTTTTTTCTTTTGGGGAAAGAAAACTGAATTTCCAATTTTCATCCTGTCGTATAATGTTGTTGTATTATGTGGTACGTAATTATTACTGAAACACGAGGGTAGTCTTATTAGTGATTAGTAGTGGAACAAGTTACCGTTACTTTGACCTTTTGGGTGAAATCAAATGCTGTATTGTAAAAACCAGATAATTGACTTGTTATTAGTTGAGTTGAGTTGAGAATAGAAATGGTTGCAAGTTTATTTATTATAAATAAATAAGTAAGAATTAATGAGATGGACGGACTATTTCGTTTTTGATAAATTTATGTGATGGTAGTTTCTGTGGAGTAGAGCGTGAGCGTCTGATTGGCACCTTTGGTAACCGGTAGCAGTGATGACATCAACAACGTCAACGTGATGAGAATGAGATCGCCTGGCACAACGCCACAGCCGCAGGCAAACGGTATGCGATTGTTCAGACTTTACGCCCGAGTGTTCACATCTGCTGGGACCATTGCACAAAATTCTTGAGACTGTCTAATCAAATTCGGACACGTTAGCAATCTAAACAAATAAAAACAAATTAGCCCAATAGTGTATGTTTATGAAATTAAAAACAAAGGCTGCCCACTGTCGTGCCGTGTTTTATTGGTCGGCTCCGTCATTTTATCCGTAATCAACGTTGCCTAACATGGTTGAATACTTTAACGAAGGATGCAGTGCAGACTACAAGTGAGAGAGACCACCCTTTACGTTTTGGCATGTTGTTGCCTTGCGGATAGGGCTGGTAATATTTTACGGCAACACGATTTTAACATGAGGAGGCTTGGATTTATGTTAAAATCGTATTAATTCATTTAGCATAATTAATAAGTTTGTTAGTTTTACGCTCATCAATTTTACTTGAAAATGCTCCATTTATGATTTGAAGTTTCGCTTACAAGATTATTATATGCATATTTGCATGAAATATTATTATGGTAGTTAAATATGACATTGAATAGTTTTTATAAATTTGTTTTATTATTTAAATTTATTTATTTGTTTAATTTAAATTGATTAATTGTGTTGATTTTGTATTATTTTGAGTTAAATGTGTTATCTAGTAAAGTATTAAATAGGTTAATCATATTAATTCATGTTACATGGATCATATTGTATGTCACATGCAATAAATAACTCGTGTTCATGTTTAAATTATTGATACGGTTAATTAATTGTATCAATTGTATATATATATATATATATATATATATATATATATATATATATATATACGAAAATTCCTACCTCAACAGTCAACACAACTACTCCTACTTATCAATTGTATTCATCTATTTTGTTAAGAGCATGCAATGCATGTTGAACAATGCTTCTAAGACCCCATTGGCCATTCCCCAAGGTATGGGTTGGTCAATGCTCAATAGGCTAGTCTAGTGTTGGAGTTTGTAGTTGGACTATGGATGGTTCATTGACCATGTACACTGCTAGGGATGCAATTTTCCCGGGTTAGAGTTAAGATTTTGTCAAAGTTTCGATAGATCCAATTTAAAACCTGGGCTCGAAACAGTATAAACTGTTAACTCGGGCCAATCCAATTTGCACACCTACACACTGCGCTGGTGAATGGGGTATTAGTGCAGCTCATATGCTTCGACCTGACCTTTTTTAAGCCCCAAACGCTGGTTTCATACATCAGCAAAAGGAAGAATTTACGCAATCCTCCAAATATTACAGATGCTGTACCCTCTGGGGACATTTCTCCACTCCGAGATGGGGCTGCAAGCCTAAAGCATTTTTGGCTAGATAGTGGGCCAAGCAAGAATAATGTTGTACCTAATTGATTGAAGTACAGATATTGTTAGATATGGCGATGGTACATATTTTCTTAGAGATGGCAAAGGGTGGGTGGGTTCAGGGGGAGGATTTTGTAAACTTTAGATCCTCTCCGTCCCTCCAAACCTTTCAATCCGTACCTCACTAAAGCTCACACCATGTCGAAGTTTCAATAAACCAAATTCAACCCACATTTGAGTGTGGGGCAGGCCAGCCAGCAGGTTCGGTCCAGAATTCACATCTAATTTCTTACCATATATGAAGAATGTAAAAAATAAACTATCAATTACTTTTTTATATACCGAATGATGGCTCGGTTGGTATTAAATGAGATCGGTTTCAGTCGGAGCAAGTCCATGTTTACACGTTCCAATAACCTTTTGTAATTTTGTATTGAGAATATTTCTCCATGAAATAAGACATATGAGTGTAAAGATATTCTTAATGCAAAACTGTAAAGGCTGTTAGAACAAGCATTGCCCTGATGGAAACCGTACTAAACTGGGTAGTCATAGAAAGAAATGCCGTTTTGATCCCTGCTATTGGATCCCATTACCATTTGGAGAATAGTTATTTGATAATTTGTTGACAAAATACTGTACTGTGCCAAAAAAATTATACCACCCCTATGGCGGCACAAAGGGGAGCCATTCAATACCGAAAAAAAATTACTTTTTAAGATACAACCTGTAGTATGGGTCAGGGGGCCAGCTTTCTAAAATAATACCCTATCTGTACCCTTATGAATTATAGAATTCCAAAATCCAGTTTCCGAGAAAAAAAAAAACAGCCCATTGGGGTGGATACCTGCTGCATAGGGTGGAAATTGCAATATTCTTAAAGAAGGGTTTATCATGAGAGAAGGTGAGGACGAGGATTTATATTCTGGGTCTAACCCGCTACGACACTTTAATCACTATGCCGATCAAAGTTTAAGGTGGTGGTTAGGATGGATGCCAATCATCAATTATTTTTCTGTTTGGTTGGTTAATTTCTAAGAAGTTGATAAATTAGTTAGAAATCAGTTATTAAAATCAGGCTGAAAAGAGGAATCACCACAGGGAGATAGTTCATATAAACAAAAAAAATCAATGCTGATAATCTCTAACAAATAAACTCATAACTGATTTCTAAAAAAAAAATAGTTGGTATAATAATAATGGTACTAAACAAACAACTTCTCTAATTTATAAGAAATCAATGATCTTAGAAAGCAATGATTTTTGAAAAATCTCATCAGAGGAATCGATATTGATCCCAAATATCTTGAAATGAGAAAATTTCTTTCGAAAAAAACAAGAAAGGAGCATATCTACTCTTCTTTATTAGCCTTATACAATTTTGCTCAAAAAAAATATTAGCCTTATACAATTCAATAATAAATATACTATATATAGTTTACAATTAGCAATTAACCTCCGGAAGCTTTTTTTTTTTTTTTTTACCCAAGCGCTAGGCAGGATTCAATCCCAAATCCCTGCTATAACTAAGAAGAAACCTTACCAACCAGTTGATTGGCATCTTGTACCTCAAGTAGCCTATTACCAGTCAATGGTAATACACCCTATTAACCAACTTCTCTAGAACACGGAACTAATAGCGAGCAAATTCAGCTATTTGTTTTTGGGTTCAACTATGATATGAAAAAGATATGATATCTGAAAAACAACCGACCAATAAAATGAAATCATAAACTTGATAACTAATAAAGTGTTGTTTGTCAAAATTCATAGATGAATTTTGATTAATCAAAACTCTTTTTATATCATATCTTTCTAGCATCATATACTTTCCCTTTGTTTAATGTTATTGTGCTACAACAAATCTTCCCTGTCATCCCTCGATTGCTGTAGCCTGTGGGTGATAAAACCAGACCAAACACGAATTAACAATAAATATTTTGATGATAATGAAAAGGAAACATGCACCCACTCTGAATCGGTATAAGCACCAAATTCCTCTCCAAGTCCAAAATCTGATCAAGATTACAAAATCGTTGCTGATTTTGGCAATACCTACATTTTTTGTACAGATGGAATCTACCCAAATCACCACCCATTGGCCAATATTCCTCTATTGTTGAATTTCAGCGAGCGAATGAGTAAAGGATGTTAATGAGAGCTTTCCAACCCGATCACCATTACAATCTGGTAATAATGTCAACAACTAATAAAGCCAATACTCATTGCTGTTGGGTAATAAAAGAGCAGAAAAAAGTTGGTCTCTAGTTTATCTGATGCAGGACGTGGTGCTAATAAAGTTGTATAGATACAAAGTACACTAGAATATATAATAATCAATACAGCTGCTATTACACATCTTGATTATATTAAATTACTACTCTCTAATAATATATGAGTTGGCGCACTACTACTCTCATCAGGTGCAACCTATTCTACCCCATCCTTAGTTTTCCTTTAATGTGTAACTAGAGAATGACCAAGTAAAGGGTAACTAAATCTGTGTATAATTTATTTTGAAGTTTATTAGTTAGTTATAAAAAATTAAATTAAAAAAAAACTAATATGAGTCTTATATCTTTGTAATTGTTAATCTATTTTGATTTATTTTATTTGAAACCCACTATTAATTTATCCTTTTTTTTTAATTTGATTTAAGATATTAAATGAGATCTTATTGATAAACAATAACTCACTTTATTTGGTATTTACTATTTATCTAATAAACCTATTTTGAGTTATTTAATTTTAAAAGCTAAATTAGGTTGCTTCTTAAAAGTTAAATTAAGTTTGTAATTAATAAACTATTTTCTTTTAAAAAATCATTTAAAAACAAATGTGATTTTATGGTAATCTTTTAATGGGTTACACTTTTTTAATCCTATTTCTTGAATTAATAGGATGCCACGTGTCTGAATGGTGGTAGTGGGTTGAGTTTTAGCAACAAATTATCAGAAAATGCCACGTGTCTAGCTTTCCAGAAAATGAGAATGCCACTTGTCTGAATGGTGGTAGTGGGTTGTAGGCTTTAACAGCAACTTCTCAAAAATGCCACGTGTCTAAATTTCTTGAAAAATAAAAATTCCACGTGTCTAATGGTCGTAGTGGGTTGTAGGCTTTAGTATGTATATATGTATTAGATATGTGATACCGAAAAAGAAAAAGAAAAGAAAAAAGAAAACTTATCTTAGACAGACCCTAATGCAAACATACATAAAAAGAAAAGACAAAAGAAAGAAAAAAAATTGCTTTGATCATTACCACAACCATAGGTCCATGACCACCGGCATAGATAAAAAAATTGTTAAATTGTTGATTCTTCCAATTTTTTTAACAATTTGCATAGTCTGTCCTAACAACCTATGGATTATATAAAAAAAAAAACAATCTCTGGAAAATTATAAATGATTTTCACGGAAAAAAAGAATTATCAATGGATTTATCATT